CTTTTAAAAAAAATCTAACAGGATAAGACCTGAACACAAGCTGTACTAACAGAGCCTTCACTCTTTAACAGCCTTGTCCTGCATTAGAAAAGTACACAGTTAAAACAAGCAAAATGCTAATAGAACAACTGTAGAACAACTGTTCTTTTTAGCCCCTGCTTATTTAATATCTATGTATCGCTTTAAAGTCATCCCGCCGAACTTGCCACCTGGTGTATTGATTTCCAGATGTGTAACTCTCCCACTGCTCCGCACAAATCCAGAGCAACAATTGAAGCCTTGTCTGTACTTCGTGATGGATTTTGGCCTAAAATGCACCTTAGGGGCTCTTTTAAGGTCTGAGATGCTTTGTGAATAACTTATCTTTACAAGGACCTAGTTTAAACTTTAAGGGGAAATTCTAAGAAAACGTCACAATTCTAAGAGTTCTTGTCACTAGGAGCAACTCTTAGCGCTAGGAAGCTTTGTGAATATGATACCTTGTCTGTTAACACCTCAGTTGCTGTCAAAAAAGCACCACAGTCTGGTACACTGGCCGAACAGCAGCAGACAAAAAGGCCCTGCAGAGGGTAATAAACACAGCAGAAAAAATCATCAGCTGTGCTCACCCTTCCCTGGAAGAGGTCACTGACACCTGCTACCTCAGCAGAGCTTCAGCCATTATCAAGACTGTACTTACCCAGGATACCATCTGTTTGACTTGCTGCCCTCTAGAGAGCACTACAGATAAATCAAAACCCAGACAAACAATATTCAAGCAATATTCATGAACAATCTTTGTCTAGTTTTTTTTACCTATTACACTTATTTATTGCTGTGTGGATTGGATGGTTGAATGGTCAGCGCTTTCAAGGAGTAGCACCCCTTATTTTGTTGTTTTTTAAAAGGCATCGTGGTCCTGACTTTGATCAAGTTCTCTGTTCCAAGAATCAGTTTCACCAAATCAAATCTATTATGCACGGAGATTATAGCTCACTACGTGTCGTCCTGTCTTCTATTGCAGCGTAACAATATTCAAATGATGCACGAGGACACGTTCTGCAACCTGAAAGACTTCAACTACATCAGGAACGCGCTGGAGGACATCCGTCTGGACGGCAACCCCATCAACCTCAGCAGGACCCCGCAGGCTTACGTCTGCCTGCCCCGCATACCCATCGGGGATCTCATTTAACCACACAGACACATACCTTACACTCTTGCACACAGACTCCCACCAGTACAACCACATGCACACATCTTTGTACATATTGACACACACACAGTCACACACGCAGACATGCATACCATTGATCTCAAACTATCAGTTAATTACACACTGCCGTACATGCTGCTGACACAATTTATGTTTCGTGAACATCCACGAAAAATTCTGCGTCAGAATCTGGTGATCAAGCACATACACACTGCTCGCTCTACGTCTTCCTGTTCTTAGACCAGGTAGAACACACACACACACACCGGCACCAACCAAAATGCATGTGTACACAAAACATAGAAACACACACACTCACACACAAGAACTTTGTCAAAAGCCAAACTGTTCCGTAACTTGATTAGGAGTAAACAATAGGTGGCATTCGGACAAATCAGTTTATTAAGAACCCTCAGATGGCATGTATGTGTCTGTTTAGTGTCTGTTCATGACTGGCAGAGAAATAACAAACCAGTAACATTGTTTTAAATATGTTTGTTTTGTAAAAATAATAATAATAATATTAATTTTAATGACAAATCTAACACTTTTGGAAATGTATACTAGCATAAACTTATTGAAGCTGGAGCTTAATGGAGGTAAATTGAGTATCTAATGCAATAAAAGACGCATTTAAACACAATCATTTGTTGTAAAGTCTGTACTGTAATATAAAAATATATATTCTGGAAAAAAAAAAAAGATTTTTTACATGAACTGCAATATTTGGTATATTACATTTTCAAAAAGTGATGTTTTAACCATGCACAATAGCAAAGACTCTAATGTCTGGAGTCGATCAAGTCAAGACTATTGTTTGATTTGGGAGGGAGGGGTTGTTGATTTTGATTGTGGATGGGGTTAAGAAGAATAATGCTAATAGCTTGCTATTGTGTGCTCTGTATGGAATAACCACAAGTGAATAAAGTTGTTTTGAAGACCTCTCCGAACCAGGAGTGGCTCAACGTTTTCATTGACGACTTGTAGGTGGAGTATACGGTGCATTTTAAAGGATGCGCAGTGGAGGTCGACTGATGGCGGATTGTTAAAGGCCGATATCGTGACGATAGTTTGGAACAGGAAAAAGGCGATAAGACAGTTAATTGGCCGATATGTCTTTGCCCCGAACCCCAGGAATTTTTTTTTTACCATGTCTGAAACAGGGCTGCAACAGTAGATTTTCACGATATGATAACCGTCTATCAGTCAGATAAACGTTTTATTACTATAACCGAAACTTGAAACCATTTTCTTAATGGAAGTTTGTGTAAAAAGTCTCGCCTTAACTAAAATAAAGGGGAGATTCTCCATCCAGTTGCTTTTTTTTTTTTTTTTTTTTTTTCCCAATATCATAGATAAGCAAACATACTACTTAGAAAATGAACTGAACAATAAATACGTAAGTAAAACTATGTATATATCTGGATCTGAACATCAAACTCGAGGTAATTCATAAATACATCTCAAACTGAGCGCAAAATAAAAAACATACGTGCTTATTTTTCTCAATCAGCGTGAGATTCTCTGGCACTCTACATTTCTGTGTAAAGCCTCCACGCAAAACGGTAATCAGAGATGGGCAGTATTTCTGTTACTTGTATTTGAAACACATACTTCAATTACTTTCGAGGAATTTGTAATCTGTATAAATTCAAATCTAATATGAAACAAGATACTTTACAGCAGGGCTGTGAACGCAGCCTTGTGCGACTGAGGAAAAATTCCTGATTCTGTTTTTGATCCTTCAGCGCATCATCCCCCGACCCTTGAACGCATCACCACACCTGAAACAAACATTTGGCACACAGCTAACACTATCAAAAGTTGTAGCTTACAATGGCCAAAAGAAAGGTTGATGCTGAGCACAGAGTGTTTCAGGAGAAGTGGGAGACTGATTATTTCTTCGTCGAGTTTAAGGGGAATGCCACCTGTCTCATCTGCAATGAGAAAATTGCCGTGTTTAAGTAGTACAATCTAAAGCGGCATTATTCAACCAAACATGTAGAGCAGTATGCTAAGTACCAGGGAGATGAATGGACACAACGAGCTGCACAGCTAAAGAAAGGACTGTCAACGCAACAAAACTTCTTCCAGAAAGCAAGAAAAGAGTCCGATGCAGCACTTGAAGCAAGTTACGTTGTCAGTGAGATGATCACCAAATCGGGAAAGCTGTTTACTGAAGGTCTGTTTCTGAAAGACTGCATGGTGCAAGTTGCAGATATTGTCTGTCCAGAAAAAAATGAGTCAGTTCAGCAACATCAGTCAGACAGCTAACACAGTGGCAGAGCGCATTACTGAGCTATCAAGTGACATTTATGAACAGTTACGTGACAAATGCAAACGTTTCCGTGCATTCTCTGGGGCACTGGATGAAAGCAAAGACATTAATGACATGGCTCAGCTTGCCATTTATGTCTGCGGTATTAATGACCAGTTCCAATTCTGTACTCAAAGCCAAGTTCAGAGAGGCAGGTGGAAAAGAAGACAAGCTTGGTCAATTTCTGAGAGAACTACCCCCATCCTTCCCAGAGCTTTCCAGGATGTTCAAGAGGACCATGTGCCTTTTTGGAAGCACATATCTCTGTGAAAAACTATTCTCCACTTCAATAAATCAAAGACTAGGTCCAGACTCAGTGATGCTCATCTTCAAGCCATATTGAGGGTTTCAACTGCCACCTCCCTCAGAGCAAATGTGGCCAGGCTGTCTGAGAAGAAGCGCTCTCAGGTGTCTGGTAGCAAGTCAAAAAATAGTTCATGTTGAGAAGTACAGTTGTTCAAACAGTTGAACGTTTGTTTGTTTTTTATTTCAACTTTTTGTGGAATACTTGAAGTGGCCCCCTTGTGACAAGACTGCATGCTCAGCGGCCCTCAGGTAATTAGGGTCCGGGCAGCTAAGCTGCCAGGACACTACTGTAATCCTAGTTATTCTTCTTTCTTCTTCTGAGGAAATCATACTTCCCATGGGTGAAAACTCACCAAACTTTGCACAAAGGTCCAGTCCCATGCCAGATATCCTCAGCTGTAAACTCAAGCCAATAGTCCTGATGGTGGCGCTACAGCAAGTGTCTAAAGTTCAAAACTCATAACAAATCAACCATACATGCTACAACTTCACAACTTTCATCAAACTGTAGCCCCAATACTGAAGAAACTTTTGTACATTTAAATCTATTGCAAATTATGAAGTCCATCACTGTTTTTTTTTTTCAAAAACTGTAAAACTTCTTAAACCTATGTCCTCCCACAATTTTTTCTCAATTGACACCAAACTTGCTACAGAGCATCTTCAGACTGTCCTACAAAAACTACGTTTCTCAGATTTATGATTTATCAAAAATTGAGCCTACAGTGCATCAAAATGTTTGACTGTAAACGGTACTATAAACATATACATGCAAATTCATGCTAAATAAATCTTCAATGTTCATGAAAAAAATGACAAAATTCTAGAGTCATGGTAGATGATGTGTGGCAAATTTCAGAATTTTATCTCAAAAACTGAATTTTTGACTGCATTTTGAATTTTGCTGTAATGTGAACAATTGGAGTCAATGTGAAAATGGCATTTTTAAACATCAGTTTTTCACTTACTGATGACTGATTTTTTTTACAGTGGTTTGAAATCTGCTTTTCCATGCATGCTAAACCTGCACGTCTGGCTTAGTCAGTTTGTGAAGCTACACATGAATTGTCACTGACTAATTAGCTCAGTGAGATAGAAATTGATTCTTAGTCTCAGAGGCTGTGAGTTCAAGCCTCAGCTGATGCAAAAGGCAGATTGTGTTGCTAAATGTCTTCCAATTCTTCTGCTTGTTGCTCAGAATTGCCTAAAAATGCCCAGACCCGACCCATCGCTGCACAGCAGCTATAATTTGAGTTTGAGACCCCTGTTCTAGAAGGTCATTGAAGGAATGAAAGAAGGTGGCTGTGTTACCACCATGGTCAACAAGTCTGAAGTCTGAAACTTTGAAAAAAATCCTGTTTTGATGCAAAGAAGCAAAATGACAAGCAGCTCCAGTCGTTCCACTTTTCCATATTGTTAAGGCACATTAATCAGAGTATGCAGGGCGGGGTGTAAACGGGAATATTCATTTTCATTAGTCATGTAAAATGCTTAGTAGGAATACTGTGTTTCAGAATTCGGCAAAAAACTGAATATTTTGTGCGTGTAAACGTAGTTTAGGATTCATACAACACACAAACAAGACTTGGTCAAAACCATAGACTGTAAAAATACTGCACATAGCTACTGTGATGCCCCCCACTGGTGTGTGGACTCCTATTTTGAAGCCTACAGTTCCGCGGCGTGGCCGTCGCCATCTTGTTTTTTTGGATTTATACGTGACCATATTTGGGTGAGAGGGTGGCGCTGTAGAGGTGAAGGGGTGGATCTGACTGAGAGGCCGAGGACGCTATCAGCAGACAGCCTGTCAATCAGAGCGGCCCGTCCTTACTTATACGTAACTTTGACCCTTAATAAAATGCAAATGATGAGTCTTACAAACATTTGCACCTTGTACAGTTGTCATGAATTTTAAATTAGCGTTAGAGAACAGAACCATGTTTATGTACCAGGCTGTAAACATGTTCATTTCTGCTGTAAATTGGGCACTTGGGGGTGCATGGGAACTGACTGGCTTCTCAGGCCAGCCTCAAGTCGCTGTTTGAACTAGAGTTTTTGTCACTCTCATGTTGGCGTTATTAATTCATTCAGCCTCGGAGGCTGCCACTGGCTTGACTGTGTATGAAACACTAGAGGGCTTTTATTCTGAAACAACAGATTTTAATTTGAACCAGGAAGTGGCAGCCATCGTCCACATACCACACGATGGTTTGTTTAACGTCCTATCAGCCAAACCAATACATCAGTCGACCTCTAATACGCAGATGCAACTAGAAGTGTGTTTTTGGGGGGAAAGTTTGGTGCAAAAAAAAAAAACATAAATCAAACATTTTCAATCAGTTTTTCAAACAGGTTGAGGAACCTCTCCTTCCTGTCCGTGACGTCTGAGTCGCTCACCCCGCTGCTCTCTTCTGTCACCCCCTCAGTCCTTTCTTTGGGTGCAGACATTCTCTCCAGTCGTGTTCTCTCCTGCTGCAGCGCCAGCCGCTCCCTGCTCACAGCATCTCTGTCCCTCTCCATCGCCGCCCTCTCCCTCTCCATCACCGCCTTCTCCCTCTCTATCGTCGCCCGCTCCCTCTCCAGCGAGGCTCGGTCTCGGTCCAGAGCGGCGACCTCCCGTTCCAGCACCGCCCTCTCCCTCTGCAGCACCTGCCGCTCCCTCTCCATCACCTGTTTCTCCCTCTCCATCACCTGTCTTTCACTGTCCATCAAGCTCCTCCCGTGCTCCATCTCTTGCATGGCGTTATCCATCTCCTGGTTTCCTTCCTCGTCCTCATCTCCATTCAGCGACACCTCGATCTCTGGCCCGCCTGTTAATGAAGGCACGGGGGAGGTCACCACCTTCCTCCTCTTGGGTCTGGAGATGGCTACGAAATCGCAAGTGTTGGAGAGGGCCTTGAGGATGGGGGCGTTACCTTCCAGCCGACCCTCCATGGCGTCGTCCATCAGATTGAAATAAGGCCACGCATCAGGGAACACTTTCACCCCATCTGGAGGGTTCTTTAGGTCCTGAGGAAGAAGAGAAGCGGCAATGAATCAGGATGGAAATGTGTCAGAATGCTTAATAAATCTAAGTGATTGATTTAAACTGTACCTTGTATCTCTTCTTCATGTTCTCCCACTTTTTGGATGCTTGAATATGAGTCATCTTGTTTTGCAGGCCCATGTGTTTCAGGATGGCCCTGAAAAATATAATCATGTTAACAGCACGCAAAAAACAATAGAAGTGAAAAAACATGTTGAGTTATTGATTAGATAAAGCTGGACTAGGCAGTTTAATTTTGGTGTCACTGGGCAAAAAATCCCATAATAAATTTTGAGCGTTGTAATTCAAGTGGTCAGAGCAGAAACTAAACTTCTGCTCCTCCTCTTTGGTCTGTTTTCAGGCTTAACACCTTTTCCAGATTCCTGTCTATCCCAGTTTCAATCAAAAAAAAATGTAATCAACTACACTTCATATTGATGCATTTACATATTTAGACCTTTCTCTATTTTCACACATTTATGTTTCTCACAGCTTTAACTAAGTGGCATACCTCCATGCCCACATGGACGTATTTCTCCTTCCAGAGAAGAGGTAATTATTTGAAACCCTCAGCTTCACAAACTCCTCGATTTCATTGGTAGTCACTAAGAGAGGAAGCGAGAGAAAGAAGTCAGTTAGAAATGCATGGAGGCGGGTGAAAAATGTAGCGCTCAATCCACAATTGTCAACTCAAATGAAACAGGGTTGCAACTAAAGATTAATATTGTCAATTAATCAATTAATAGTTTGATGTACAAAATGTCTGAGTGTATCCCAAAGCCCAAAATCACATCCTCAAAGGTCTTGTTTTGTCCACAGCCCAAAAATATTAAGTTTACAGCAACAAAGATGTAAAAAAAGAAAAAAAAAAGAAAAAAAAAACAGAAAATATTCACATTTATGAAGCTGGAAACAGATCATTTTGACCTTTAAATAAATCATCAAATTAGTTGGCAATCACTTTAATAGTTGACATCTAACCGATTCATTGTTGCAATGCAGTGGACAGACTGTATTCAGGGTGTCTACAGGTATCAGACAGATTAATATAATGCTTTTTAAGACCCGTTCAAGACACCTGTCCAAGTTTTTTGGACAAATTATGTTTTACTTTAAGCAGGCAAGTATTATATATGTGGTCTTGTGCAATAACCAGTTATTAGAGTGAGTTACGTCTACATTTTGCCAACTGTAAGTGCAAGTATGAGACAAAATGACAGTATTATAGTGTTTTAAAGATTTGTAACATTAAAAATGGACTTTTACATAGAAAGGCTTCACTTATTGTCACAAAAAGAAATTAGAAAATGGATTAATGAAATTAGATTAAATGCTAGCAGTAGTTAAGACCTCACAAAGTCAAATTTAAGACTATTTAAAGACTTTTAAGGAGCTGTAGACACCGTGATATATCAGCTTTTTTGACCTCCAGTTTTATGGAATCAATGGGATTGCTCCCCTTTTATATAATTAATAAATGTACAGCATACTTGCAACTAAAAAATTCAGGTGAGAAACCAACACCACTTCAACCAGATCATCCGTTTAAATAACAATAACAACAGGTGTAAGATCACAGTCTTGTGTAATTATTAACTTAACGGTTAGTTTATTGCCTCAGGGTTGGTCTGCGCTCATTTACACACGTTACACGACAAATACAACATTATATTACCAGTGGAGGTAGATAGTGATAATGTACGTTAACTAACGTTACAGTCACTTTTTATTGTTGAATGAAAAGGTGCAAATGGGTACTTTCCCTGTGGAGTGGCGCCCACTTGCTAGGATGCTAGTTGCCCAAGCTAACTCCAGTCTAACTGTGAGTACGTCAGCTAGCTTGATTAAAACATGACGTCTCGCTGCCTTTACTTACTTTTATACGTGAACTCCACGGGTCTGGTTTTGTCATAAGTGGTGCTGGTGTAAGCGTGATCCTCAAACTCCATTGTTATTTATTTTTAGTTCTTCGTTTTAGTGTTTTTGTCAAGTGTCCTTCGAAAGAAAAGACTGCTTGGTCGTTCGTTCCTCCTTCAGAAGAGAAGGACCCTATGTTCTTCTTCTCTTGTTTTTATTAGGGGGAGCTTCGCTGTGTTTGTAGACGTGGAGGCGCCAATGGTAGAGTCAGTTCACTATCGCCACCCGGCGGTGTGGAGGTTTAGCACATTTGCAGTATGTTCTGATAGTTGATTATTTTTTATTTAATTTTATTTATTTATTTATTTATTAATTTGTGTGTGTGTAATCTAACTCGTAACAATTTATTATTTATTTTCTAAATTATTATTTATTTATAAATTATTATTGTTATTA